GTTTATGTAGTTACCCACGTTCGAGAGTTTTTTTTAAGTTTTATTTGCTTACTCTATTATTTCCAGAGCTTCATATGATTATTAAGAGTATTGAGTACCTTATTACTACGGTTTATGTAATATCCTGTAAAAAAAAAGTTGGATACAAGTCTCCCTATTTGAGTGTTCACCCGGTTTAAAATCGTGGATCTCGAGGAACACACGAATTCATTCGACCAATCAAAAACGTGGAACTAGTTCGAGAGTCTCGTTCAGGTGGCGCGTCGACACGCCAAAACACAGCTCCAGATTATCACGCGTAGTATTACTATATATACACGACCAATCAAAAACGTGGAACTGCTTCGAGGGCCCTCCGCTAAGGTGGCGCGCCGAAACCAGAGAAAAATTGCCTTCACCAAAAACAGGCTCATTGGCAATCTCCCTACTCATCTCTGGTGCTTGTTAGCTGTCCACGAGATAGCTATTTAAAAAATAATAGTACAGACTTTACAGTTTTCAGAAAATATTGGTATCAAGCTGAAAAAGTTGTATTTTATTTGTTATTAACAATTTAATTGTTTAAACGACGAACCTTGGTTGATAAGATTATATTTTATGCTTTTTAATGAATGAACATTTAACACCTAATACGAGATTTGTATCACTAGTCAGTCACTCGTTAGTTTAGACAATTAAATTGTGAATAACAAATTAAATATAACTTTTTTAGCTCAGTACCAAAACTTTCTACAATCTGTACGCATTATATTATTATTTTTTTAATAATTAGCATAGACTGTCGCAAAGACTAATGTTGCAAACGTAACGGAATATTAGAATATTTCTTACAAGAAGAGTCTCCAACAATCGGATTTTTGCAATCTTTTTTACTCATGGTACGTGAAGTTGAGAATTCGAATAGTAATTTCCCATTGCAGTTCTATGTCATATTCAAAAATTCTCAAGAAAGTCAACTTTGAAGTTTTGTGAGTCCGTATGTGCATTAAATGTGTCACTATATTCAAGCAGGCCGTTTAACGCACCCGGTAACGCTCGAGCTTAGCGAGCGCGGGGTCGCTGGTTCGCGTCTCACTTGTAGCTTTCTTTTTTCCACCCAATTCGCATAATTATGTCATTTAAATATAAAAATCACCAGATCTATAGCAATTCACAGATATATAATTGTAATCTTCAATGAAATTCGCACGTTTTATTTTTAATTATCTCGAGCTTCAAAAATTACACTTTTGAATGTAAATATCAATGTTTAGCTACCAGTAATTATAACAAACAAGATTTTTAGAGCGGAAATTAATGATGGAATTCTCTTTACTATAAAAGTAAAATGATAAGAAAAGTAATGGGGTCGAAGTACTGAACGCACACAATATAATAAAAAAAAAAATTTCTTGCAAGTTTTGTGAGGTGTCTGGCACCCTTTGCGAAGGAACCCCTAAATACTGCAGCCATAACGCTCTTGTCAGAGCTTCGTACTGTCGCCACCAGTCAACGCTCGAGTCAACACCGAAATTTTTTCCAGTCAGACAGCAGCCTTAAGAGTATTGACTACCTTATTACTACGGTTTATGTAATATCCTGTGAAAAATGAAGGTGGATACAAGTCTCCCTATTTGAGTGTCACCCGGTTTGATATTGTGGATCTCGAGGAACAGGCGAATTCATTCGACCAATCAAAAACGTGGAACTAGTTCGAGAGTCTCGTTCAGGTGGCGCGTCGACGCGCCAAGACACAGCTCTAGATTCTGACGCGTAGTATTACTATATATACTCGACCAATCAAAAACGTGGAACTGCTTCGAGGGCCCTCCGCTAAGGTGGCGCGCCGAAACCAGAGTAAAATTGAGACCACCAAAAACAGGCCCATTGGCAATCTCCCTACTCATCTCTGGTAGCTGCGACTACGTTTATACGACGATCGTAAACCGGTTTAGGTACTACTGATCTAAAGGAATAGACAAATCATAGACATTTCTAATTTTATAGAATATTTGGGATTGGTCAATTCCTTTAGATCAGTACAAAATAAACCAGTTAAGACCGCCGTGTAAACGTAGCTATGTAACTCATATGATATCTACGGTACCTACGCAGCCAACGCAGGGTACCGTGCCTGGGAAGTTAATTCCATGTTCCAGTGGGAAAAGAAAGACGTTTTTAATTACCGGTTGTTCTCTTCGCAGTTACTTTCTCGGTTCTTGTTATTATTTAATTGTGAAGATTGTGCTTATTTTGCTTCTCGATTCAATAGTATTGCGGTGGAACTTCGTCGCATTAAATTGTTTGTACGTCGGTTTCGTATACATACTTAGGTTAAGTTCTACAATAATAGGTGTAAGTTGCTTTAAATCTTATAAGTTTTAAATTTTTCATACACACGTTAATAACTCTTGTGATGTGAATAATTTTCATTTGTTGTAAAGACAATCATATAGACAGAGATTATTTTTGCAAAAAAATATTACGGTTATGCTACATTGGAAAATGTATTCGCACGTTTTATTTTTAATTATCTCGAGCTTCAAAAATTACACTTTTGAATGTAAATATCAATGTTTAGCTACCAGTAATTATAACAAACAAGATTTTTAGAGCGGAAATTAATGATGGAATTCTCTTTACTATAAAAGTAAAATGATAAGAAAAGTAATGGGGTCGAAGTACTGAACGCACACAATATAATAAAAAAAAAAATTTCTTGCAAGTTTTGTGAGGTGTCTGGCACCCTTTGCGAAGGAACCCCTAAATACTGCAGCCATAACGCTCTTGTCAGAGCTTCGTACTGTCGCCACCAGTCAACGCTCGAGTCAACACCGAAATTTTTTCCAGTCAGACAGCAGCCTTAAGAGTATTGACTACCTTATTACTACGGTTTATGTAATATCCTGTGAAAAATGAAGGTGGATACAAGTCTCCCTATTTGAGTGTCACCCGGTTTGATATTGTGGATCTCGAGGAACAGGCGAATTCATTCGACCAATCAAAAACGTGGAACTAGTTCGAGAGTCTCGTTCAGGTGGCGCGTCGACGCGCCAAGACACAGCTCTAGATTCTGACGCGTAGTATTACTATATATACTCGACCAATCAAAAACGTGGAACTAGTTCGAGAGTCTCGTTCAGGTGGCGCGTCGACGCGCCAAGACACAGCTCTAGATTCTGACGCGTAGTATTACTATATATACTCGACCAATCAAAAACGTGGAACTGCTTCGAGGGCCCTCCGCTAAGGTGGCGCGCCGAAACCAGAGTAAAATTGAGACCACCAAAAACAGGCCCATTGGCAATCTCCCTACTCATCTCTGGTAGCTGCGACTACGTTTATACGACGATCGTAAACCGGTTTAGGTACTACTGATCTAAAGGAATAGACAAATCATAGACATTTCTAATTTTATAGAATATTTGGGATTGGTCAATTCCTTTAGATCAGTACAAAATAAACCAGTTAAGACCGCCGTGTAAACGTAGCTATGTAACTCATATGATATCTACGGTACCTACGCAGCCAACGCAGGGTACCGTGCCTGGGAAGTTAATTCCATGTTCCAGTGGGAAAAGAAAGACGTTTTTAATTACCGGTTGTTCTCTTCGCAGTTACTTTCTCGGTTCTTGTTATTATTTAATTGTGAAGATTGTGCTTATTTTGCTTCTCGATTCAATAGTATTGCGGTGGAACTTCGTCGCATTAAATTGTTTGTACGTCGGTTTCGTATACATACTTAGGTTAAGTTCTACAATAATAGGTGTAAGTTGCTTTAAATCTTATAAGTTTTAAATTTTTCATACACACGTTAATAACTCTTGTGATGTGAATAATTTTCATTTGTTGTAAAGACAATCATATAGACAGAGATTATTTTTGCAAAAAAATATTACGGTTATGCTACATTGGAAAATGTATTCTGGAACTAGTTCTTTGGCAACTGAGGTTCTGTGTATGTAGTTATTTCGAAGCTGACTTCTATTGGGTGGAAAAAGAAAAATTTTATATTTGTACATTGTCTGACTGACATGATAAATGCTTACATATATATCTGTATGTTCTGAAGACGAAGTATTATGAGTGAAGAATAATTTCACTGTGTATGTAGTAAAAACTAAATTATATGGTTACCTTTGGTGAAAACCCAATTGGTAAAAAGTAAAATATGTATGACGACTTTATAGCATATGTCAGTTGGAATTGGAAGAATTGAAAGTATATGTAATCAGGAGTAATTTGTGCAACAAAGGAGATAAAAGGGACAATATAAATATTTATGAAGAGTATGTAAAGGGAAAATAGAATAATAATGCGTGTCATGAAAGTTGTTATAAAATGTCAAAGTTTGATGTCAATTCCCAATGTAATACTTTATATGTCGTGTAAACCTAAACTGTACTACAACATTAATGTTTTTACAATAGCATTCACATGGCAGAATTAGTTCATAGAAATTTGTATGAAACTGTAATACCCATATTTTATAATCTAATGTGGACAAACTTAACCCTAAATGGATCATCTTTTAATCTGCAAATCATAAGGAAAAAAATTGAGTAGGTAGTTGAAATATCTAAACTGCACTCGGGGATCGCATTCGTATAGTTAACCACGTTACCGGCTGTATTGTACGAGCATGCGTACTAACGCATATCCGTTTAGTTCACTGTGAAGTTTGTCTGGATTCGTGGTGGAAAAAAAAACAAGTGTGGCGTCGCAGTGGCTTGAAGTTGTCCGAACGAATTGTGTGAGGTGAAGTGTGTGTATATATATAAATGGCGGCTGACGAAAAATGGTACTTTACGAAAGAACAGCTTGCAAACACGCCAAGTCGAAAATGTGGGATCGACGCCGATAAGGAACTAAGCTACAGACAGCAAGCGGCTAATTTCATCCAGGACATGGGACAACGGCTTGCCGTGTAACCTTTTTTTACGTGCTTACTATTGCCTACTTCTGAGCATCCCTTTCATCTCCCCTCGCTCTTCTGATCCATAACACTTAATTGCTCTTCCTTTGCTTTTTTCCTCGAATTTTCATCGAGAAACCGATTTATTCTCTTGCCTTTTTACGAATGATATTGAATGAATTGTGGAAATTCTCGTTTTATAATTTTTCTTGAAGCCAACACTGAAAAAGTAGGAACTGAGGTCACGTTCTCCTGCGTTTCTCCATATTGATGTATCAAGACTCGTAGAGTGGTTTTCATTCTATTTTTTATGCAATTCTCTAATTACTTCATAGGAATTTTGGTTTGTGCAAATTTTGAGCTACCGATAATGGCATGTGCTTCCATGAGAAAAGATTTGTGATGTATAATAGTCATAAACCAAGACTGTTTATTAAAAGGTGTTTGACAGTAGTGCCAATAGTACAAATAACAATTTAACGCCACTTACGCAATTAAATCATTTATTTACTTCTACTTAGATTTATTATTGCATAAAATGTTCAAAATCCAGAAATTATGCATTATTAAAGTATTGTTTCAATTTGTGTTTTGAATTATTAGACAAAGTTTACCATGAACTTTTTTCTTTATATAATTTTTTAAAATATACGTTATTGTAGTATGTGTTTAATCGCTTTTTTGTCTTGCACATTTTATTTATTTATTTATTTATTTATTTCACCAGAGTAATATACATTACATTACAAAAGTAACCTAGTAGAGGAACGTAAGATCCTGATCGCTAGTCTGGTATACAGAAAAATCCTTATTCTACTAGAAGCATTTGTAGCATTTTATAATCTATTCATTAAAATAATACGTTGTTTTACAGCATGTACAGTAATTTTACTTGGTAAATTGGTCTGCTTGTCGTGATAGTATTAGAAAAATATTTTAAATTCCCTGTAAGTACTTAGGTATTGCAATTACCATTGTGTCTCTCGTCCTCTGTATGCATATGAAGGAGACATAGGTAGTTACGACATACTTATAGTACATATAGTGAATTTTGAAATATATCTAAAACTTAGAGCTTGTGTGCATTTTTGTGTTTTATATAGTTGGTCTATGAGTTTAATGTTTTAACAGTTTGCATGCAATGCAATCCTAAGAAAATCACAAGTGATTATCCATAAAATGTAAATATATGCTCAAATTGAGAAATAAAATGTATTTAGGGCTAAATTGCAGAATATGACTCCTTGAAGTTAGATGTGAATTATTTAGTTTTTTACATGAAGCTCTTATAGTAGGTATCGTATTACAGTTTTACCTATATTTAGTACAAAATCATGCATATGCATATTTCCAAAAAACATTAATGGAAGCCACATGTATTTTGCTAGAGACTTCATGCTTTCAATCGATCAAAAAAATATTGAACTTGTGGATTAACTATAGATTATGATTATGCTGTAGTTAAAAACAGGTATTTTCCAAGTTCTTTTAAAAAAAGTTCCTTATAGGATCTACATTTACTGTAACTCTTGCAGGTGTTCATTTTTGTACTAGTCTTATGTATCAAAATTGAGAAAACAGTAACAATATTTGCTTTAACCCATCTGAGATTAACATCACATTTTAAAACTATTATCATAATTTGTAACTTTCAGCACTTTGCATTACTTTTTACAATTTTTAATTATTATTTTCAGTTACAATTTGTTGTACAAAAAGATTCATTTATATTAATATATTTTGTAATTGGTGACAGGATTAGCAGTTCAATAACTAGAGCTTATATATAATCTAATGAATTGAAATATTTTTCCATCACTATCTTTACAAGATTAAATTGATGCTACGATCAGTTTCCATGAATGTGATCTTCAAGTATATTGTTGTAACGTGGAAATAAATAAATTGTGGAAATACTTGATATTTTAAGCTTTTAACAAGAAATTCATGGGAAAAAAAATTAAATTTGTTACTTCTTTTTTAAGGATGAGCTGTTTAGAATATTTTCTTACATGCAAATGTACTTTTACACAAGTTAAATAAATTATTTTCGTTTAAAAAAAAACGTGTCCCTTCTACTTTTACAAACTTACCATTTGATGATTAATAATAATATTTATAATTCTCAAAGTGTATTCATTTATCATTGGAATGTTATTTGCATTCTATAATATCTAATTTTTATACATTTTCAATCATTTCTCCAATATTCTTTTCAAAACATCAATGCTACAAGTATACAAAAAGTTGATTCAACAAATGAATTGTGAAATAATAATATGTCGTAAATTGGTAAAATTTCTAACTGTTGAACAATATTTGATAGAAGAGTTTTTGATCATGACTTTGATTTTAAATACACATGGCTCTCTAGATAAAAGTAAATGCACTAGCAATTCGCATAATCTCTTCTGTGTCGCATATTGAACTTCAGCATGAGTAGTAGAATTTTAGAAAGGGTCATTATTAAAAAAAATTCAATCTGGCGATTAATTCAAAAGCAATAACCATTGCTATTGTTCTGTTGTTCAAAAAATCTGTGCAAATAGTAGATGTACGCTTTTTAAGTTAAATTAAATGTATGAACATCTTGTGAAATCGGTTTCTTGTTGAAAGATCAAGCTTCTTATGGTCTATAGTATATGTAAAGCAGTCACAATATCCACCTGATATCTAACCTGGCTATAGCTTATAATATGTTGAATACGTTCTTAAGAAATATATTATTTTTCTTAATCTCTTCAATTTAGATCACAATTATGTATCAATACGGCTATTGTATACATGCACCGGTTCTACGTGTTCCATTCGCTATCACAATTCCACAGGAATGCGATAGCAGCGGCGGCCCTCTTTCTGGCTGCAAAAGTCGAGGAGCAACCAAGGAAGTTGGAACATGTTATCAAAGTGGCATACATGTGTCTTCACAGAGATCAGACGCCACCTGATACGAAATCTGAGGTAAATAATCATAACGTTATAATTAGAATAAATACACGTTAGCAATTATCCCTTCCCGGCGAAGTTTCTGTATCATGATACTGATTTGTGCATTTATTTATTTTTCAGCAATACCTCGAACACGCTCAAGATCTGGTTTTCAATGAGAACGTCCTACTGCAAACGTTGGGGTTCGATGTAGCTATAGATCATCCTCACACTCACGTAGTTAGATGTTGTCACCTGGTTAAAGGTGAGTTGATGTATTGATTATGCCCAATCATATTATGCAATATTGTTTCTATATTTGCAACATTAGAATGACTTTTCTAAAGCAACCTGGTTCTTGTTACAGCGAGCAAGGACTTAGCCCAGACTTCATACTTCATGGCATCTAACAGGTGGCTACGAATTATTTCCTAGTATCTCTCTTACTGTTATTGGTGTACGGAACGAGACGTAATGAAAATACTAAAGAAAAGAATCAAAGACATTGGCTACTGGCACAGCATTTTGATTTCATGCTTTTATAACCGTTCATAATTATTAGTTTACTAGAAATGAGATATATTAAAAAAATACTCTATAAGAGAGTAGACTAGAATTACCGAAATTTTGATATATTTACTGAAATGCAATAAGTCCCTGAAAAGGAATAAGTTTCATGACAATAGAAACGAATGTTGCATTGCCAGACTAGCCTTAAAAGTACGTCTGATCTTATAAAGAACGTATGGCAAAGAAAAATCAAAAACAAATACGCAATGAAGTCTTATATCATAAGCTAATGTCACGGTGTGGATTAAAAGGATTAAAAGGTAAATGCACTATTTATAAGGAGCGGTCGTTTTCATCTTACGAAATAACGATAATGACTCGCTCGAATATTTCTGAATTTTCGCTATTTATTCTTCGTTTGTTTATTTTGATTTTTCTTCTATTTATTTTTTTTTCTCTATCATATTGGATTCTGATTTCGTTCAGTAGAAGATTTTAAAAATCTCGATGTTGGCTTATGAGTGACGGACATGACGCATAAAACATTTTTCTCTATTTATTTCCAAGACTTCTTTAGGACGTTTTTTCTGTCAGGTTAAATGACTCAAAGATGTGATAAAATTCGATAGGAGAATTAATAAAAGGTGGAATATAGTCTATGTGAATCTATGTGAAGTTTTAATAGAATGTTTAAAAATTATAATTAGCAAGTATAGTTAAACTAAAAAACAACGCTTACAAACTTCGTATACTAGGCGAAACAAATTAATAGATTAGGTAATTAATAATTGCAAAAGTTTTGATTCTTATACTGATTTTCAAATTCTCCCATATGGTTTCAGTATATCCTTCTGTAATACGGTCTGACAAGGATCCGTATTGAGAATTGCGTCTCGAGGCCACGAGATTTTATGTATTGTTTTTTAAATCGACTTTGTAATTGTATGGGAGCGCATGCAACTGAATGAGTGGTTTTTTTTCCAGTTTACACTTGACGACCATGTGCCTTCAGTACAAACCTACGGTCGTAGCCTGTTTCTGCATACATCTCGCCTGCAAATGGTCTAATTGGGAGGTGAGTTATCCTAATAATGTTAGGTTTTTGGATCTACTCTAGGCAAGAATGGCCATGTGCACAGATACCTCAAAGCAACGAGGGAAAACACTGGTTTTGGTATGTCGATCGGAGTGTCACTTCTGAGCTTCTGCAGCAGCTCACCGCAGAATTCCTCCATATATTCGACAAGTGTCCATCCAGACTCAAAAGAAAGATCATGAGCATATCCGCCACCCAGAGCCCCAGCATTAATCACCCTAGTTTGCCAAATTCCCCATTTGTGAGTATTAATTTAATCAAAAAAGAAGATAAATAATATACGCGCACGAGGCGTCCTGAGAGTTGATAGGGATTTTAATCATTTAATAGGATGTGGAACCTAGAAAAGTACAGAGTCCTGCGGCTGGCGATGGAGGACCAACGTTCCAGTCTAATCGACCGTATCTCTCCGACAAGCAGGAGGATAAGAAACCATTGTCGTCTTCTATACCAGGACGGCCACAGGTGGACTATAGGGAATACAAAGAGAAGAAGGAACGTGAGCGCCTTGAGCGAGAAAAAACCGTTGCTGCTGCTTCTGCGACTGCTGTATCCGTTACGGTCGCTGCTGCTTCAGGGACCAATCCATCTGCTCATATGTCAGAATTAAATAAGCACCATTCTCATCATCATAAGTCGGTGTCCAGTGTTGGACTTCCCAATAAACATCCTATGCCACCTGGTCAAAAGTCGAGTATGCATCATAATCACAATCATAGACCAGAGATGAAGACTGGTATGATAGCCACACATAGACACTCTGTTAACAACCAACCCAGGGATCCTAATCGGGATCTTAATCGACAAAGAATTGCTAGGGAATATAATTCAAGTAGTGGCACTAGTGGCGGTACCATGTATTCCCATTCTCATACGACACATCTGGCAAAGAATTCCAATCCAGATTCTAATTCCCTCTCGGAGACTTCTGCCGTAAGAGCAGAATCTAGTTTGCCATCTCAAGAAGTGGTGGCACACGGAAATGCTCAGGAAAAACTGAGTAACAATAATCACAGCGTACACAGGTTAAGTAACGTTGACTGTAAACATCAGCCCCATGACAAAAGGTCATCCTATGATCCGAGACATAAGACTCCGGAACATAGGAAGGATGCTGAACAACAAAAACTTTACACCAAATATCAAGAACCTGCAAGAATAGAACGACAGCGTAAGCCCGATTCACTTGAGCAAAGGAGCGAGGAAGTCAGAAAACTCATTGAAAAGCCTCTGCCGCCACCTAAGCCACGCCCGGAAATTCAGAAGGAGGAATATATTGCTAATATGTTAAAACAGTCACACCATCCCAAGTACAATCAGCTAGATAAATTACAAGGTAATTTTTATTCCTTTTCATTTTTCGCATATTATTAAGCGAAGATACATGAAACATAATATTAGAGACAAGAACTTTTTTGTCATATATTGTGTACTTTTGTCATATTGCAGCATCGCCTCAGATGTTCCAGAAATCAGTGCCGTCCAAACCAGCACCGAATCAGCACTCAATGCACGGAGTTTCTCAGATATTAAAGGACATTTCAAAGAACGGTGCATCACAACAATCTTCAATGAATAATGTGGACGATTATAAAACAGAGAAACGGTTGCGACACGATGGACCGGAGCGCTCGTTCTCGGGAGTGCAGCAGCCCTTGTTGCAAACACCGCCAGGGAAGCATAAGTCACTATTCAGTCCAGAAAAAGCACCAACGTCGAGAGACATGCACTCTCAGAGGCCAAAGTCTAAGCAGAAAACGCCACCAACGGCAGCTAAAGTTCCTAAACAAGAGCGATTAGATCCCTTACCAAGCCCTCTGAACATTGTATCGCCATTCGCAAGTCCACCAGGTCCTCATCAGCAGGATCCCTCGCCGTCGAAAAGATTATCTAATGATGCGATCTCTAGTTCAAATAAGAGGCATAGAACATTAAGCACCAGCGAAACTGATCAACAACCTAAGATCAAAACTGAAGAGATATCCGGTTTCGATACTATGAAGATGCTCGGACGAGTTCCTGACCTAATACAACCCTTTAAGGATAATCCGACACCTACAAATGGCAGAAGTACCTCAGTGGCTAATGATTTAAAGCCTCCAGAGTTAATAAAGCCATTCGAGCCGGAACCAGTTGTTCACCAAGTGGCTGCTACATCTCAAAGTACCATTAGACAGCAGCAACAACAAACATCAATGAATGGATTAGAATCGGGTATTATTAAGCAGGAGCCCCTTATTACCAACGTGAAACAGGAACCTGTAAATAGTGAGTCAACCGGTGTTGTGGAACATTCGACACAGGTGAAATCAGAGTATCTGTCATCTATAAAATCTGTTCAAAGCATAAATGCCCTTCTACAAGAACCGATTGCACAAATTCCTTCGTTGCTGCAAGGTGTACAATTGACTCCAATAGTACAACAACAGCTTCAACGACAGCATCGTCTTCAACAACAAAAGCAGCAGGTGCATATGTCATTGCAGACATTACAGTCTCAAGAACAAGTTCCAATACAGTCGCAGTGTGTATCGTTACCAGCAGTCAGTGACTCCTCAATTGCTTCAACGGTGGACATCAGTGTTTTAAATACACCAGTACAAGCCGCAGGAGCTTCGGCGGCTCCAGCATCGATGCCAATGGAGATGAGTAATCTGGTTGCCGTCGTCGAGGAGAAAAAGTCCGAGCATCACAAAAGTGAAAAGAAAAAGAAGAAGGAGAAGCACAAACATAAAGATAAAGATAAGAGTAAAGAGAAACACAAGCATAAACACAAAGATAAGGATAAAGAGAAGCACAGAGACAAGGAAAAGAACAAGGCCGAGGTCAGTGGCGAGGGTGTATTTGCAGCGGTACCAATCAGAATAACCATACCCAAGGACAAAATAAATTTGAGTGGTACCGAGTCGGGTGCAGTAACTGGAGGAAATACAGGGCACCCGGAGAAAAATAAATCACCTCAGGGCACTGGATTAAAGATCAAGATTCCTAAGGAGCGCCTTAAGGGTGCTGATGGCGTCTCTGGTTCAACAGGACAATCTGTTGTTCAGGCCCCTCTGAAAATTAAGATACGAACCGACGCGATATCAAGGAGCAGCACCTCCAGTAGTGGGCTTCCTGGGAATCTTGGTGCTGGCGGTGGACTAGAATCCGCATCGGAGAATCGGAAGAGAGAGCGTGATCGAGATTGTGAGTCAACTTCAAGTCCTACGCTGGGTGGAGGCCCCCCAAACAAGAAGCACACTCAAGGTGGTAGTGGCAGTAACAGTAGCAGCGGAGCGCAGCGACCTGGGGAGCGACAAAACGGCCGACACTATAGTTCAAGCAGTAATAACAAGGTACGTGGAGGCGGGAGAGTGGCTCGTCAGTTTTCCCCACGGGTTCTACGCGCTCAGCCATCCCTTTATGGCCAATCACTTCGCGATAACTATTATCAGCACGTCACCGCCCACGAATCAGACTCCTATAATAGTCACAACCTGAGAAATCCCCAACATTCAATTCATCCTCCTCCACCACTTCGTGACATGGGTTATCCTCACGGAGCCCGTCCAGCTCAGTCTCACCATTCGCAGTCGAGTGAACCTTATTTCTTTGCCAATTATCATACAACCTCTATATATAATCATTCTAATTACGTTTATGATTCTGCTATGTATTATCAGCATTACCAGCAACAATACCCCATTTATCCGTCTGCTAACGTAATAATAACACCGGATGGTGCCATAGACACATCCGTTCCACCCCCTACTCTACCATCTAATATTCGACAACAAAATCAAACGGATAAAATTCAGATTGTTCAAACAGAAATTAATAGCCCTCCTCCGTTACCTAGTGGACCGCCACCTAATTCTCCACCACCGCCTCCTCCCCCGGAGTAGATTCGCTGAACTAGACTCCTATATTATTACTTTAGTAGACTCTGTAGACATTATTCTGTCGTAGTTCTTACTGTAATGTTTACTTGTCATCTTTCGCCCATTAACGATACTGCCCAAGGCTTCAAAAAAATGTCTTTGATTTTCTTTTCTAACTTACCAAGTTCGTTTCTTACGTTCACTATTTTAGTTTATTTTTCCAGTGATAACTATCTTCTATTCGTAAACTGTCGATTCTATTCTTCAAATTACTAAGGACTCACACTTAGTTTTCTTATGTTTACTTTGTAAGCATTCATTCTATACTTTATGTTTTATTAGCACTCAATTAGCCTCAAAGAAATTGAGAAGAAATCAAGATTGATTTCAATTATCAATAGATTTCTTGAGATTCGATTGACGATCAAATGCTTTTACGATCGATCTGAAAGTCTCAAATATAGTGATAATTTTATTCGAAGAGAAAGAGAAAGCTGTGATTCGTTTCGCAAAGAGTCAACTATGGTATTTGAAAACTGAATATAACATAACATTGACGGCCGGATCGTTCGTTCTTACTGTGTGTTTGAAATGACTGATCTAATTGTACAATGAAAACATTTTCTTAAAACGTGATAACGTAATTCTATTTCTTTGTTCTTAACTATTCCTTCTTCCAATGCATCTTACAAGTATAGTATGTATACGGGTAGAATGTTCTGAGCATGTGATTAATTAAGTATACCTTTTTTGATGTCAACGCATTAGCTGGCAAATGAACTCGATCTTTCGGCTTCAATTCTATCTTTTGTTGTTTTTATTTTGGCCTCCTCTTTTTACCTACTCACTTGTATATTCTCTTCCGTGTGTAGATCCTTATCCACAGTCTACGGTATTGTTAAATTATGTTGCTAAGAAAAAAAAATACTTGTAACGGATCAAAGAAATTGGACGCGATATATTGTATGAGTTATCTGAGAGACGTTATTGTGTTATCGCTTTATGATGTTATGTTCAAAGTGGGAAAACGTGTCTTAGTTTAGATGAGAAATGAAAAAAATTGACTCCATTTGCATGTGCATCCATTACTTTACATCGGGATGGTAAAGAAACTTCATTTATTTGACGTACATTGAAGTAAGAAAAAAAATTATTGCAGAAAAACGCACCTTATTTTGTAACGAAGACTTTTTTTCGTGGTACTGTTGCAAAGACAAATTTCTCCACTTCAAAATTCATATTAGGTTTTATCTGAAGCAGATTTTTTATTTCTCCTTGTTTGACGATAGTTTCGAATAAGATTCAAATATAATTTATATATGTACATAGTATCGATACCTATAATTGTATGCTTATATATGGTATACCTACAATTTAAATGTATGTATGTGCACGAGCATAACGATATACAAAATTGAGAAAAAGGAAATGAACAAAAAAGAAATTTGTAACGTTTCCCACGGTATAATTTTCACTTTTGACGGGTGATAGGGTCCTGCTTACAGGATGAGTAAGGATAAAATAAATTTTAAAAAAGTAGAGAATATCATGAGAATTATAAAATATATAGCAATAGCATGGAATTAACGATTACACGCCTTTGAAGAGAATGAGAATATTTAACTCAGGAATCGAAAAAGAATTTCCGATATGTTCTAGCGCTCTGTGGTTATAAAGTGTGTATTTATATACCGTTACTGTGCTGTTGCCATTTATAATTGTTATTACAATATTACTATTGCCACGGAGGGCACAAATACCACTGTGCTACTAAATATTGTTGATCTATTTACTGTATAATAACTATTATCACTCGTACTACAAGTTCTATCGCTAAATCTATTACTTATTTCTATACACATTACATTTATTATTCTGTTTACGGTCTACTGTCCCTAAAAAAGTGGTCTGTAATTTTGAATTTCCCCTGAGCTCTTTCTAAACAATCACGCCGAAGAGGGAAGGCTCCCAGTCGTCTGTTTCGTTTACCGCGCAAGTTACTTGCGCTCTATCGAACTCTCGGTCTATTACATAGAGTGGGCGCATTCCATAAGACAGCACTCTCTAATATAATCCAACCGGACCCCCGCGTGTGCCATCTTGTGGAGAGTTGACTATACTACTGTATTCTACTTCTGCTAGTAGTATTGTAGTATCACTATTTTGCTATTCCTGCTATTATTGGCAGAAACATGTTTATTTCTCAAAGTCTCTTAAACACTTCTTTTATATATTTGTGCGGTCGAGTACTTTTCTCATTCTCATTTACAGTTTTACATGTAGTTCATATTTTAGGAAAGATTTTGTAATTTCGTTTTGTAATTATTCAACTTGAATCACTGCTCATCTAGGGTGCGTTCACACTTGTTGTGAATGTTGAGTAGATTGTTATCTCTTTTTTGTCATATATTTCAAGAGATGCAACGATTTTTGGAGTACTTGCAATAAGTTTGGAAATCCAACTTCCAAGTCGTTGCCAGGACTCTTACTGCCATTACTACTATATTACCTCGGTTTTGTTAGCTGAAACCCATAATAGCAGTTTCTAGATCGTACCTTATTTAAATGTATTTTTTCAAAAATCAATAATTAAGCTTCGGCTTAGCCATTTACTGGGGGACTAATACACGCTGTATCCTGAATTAAGTCTGAAACATGCTAAAAGTACATAATAATAGAAACTATGGTTTAGGAAAATGCGTTCAAATATAGAGGGAACGCGAGAAAGGAAAACTAATGGAAATAGTCAGATAGTGTAAGGACACACAAGAGTTCATAGTTTAATTAATCACAAACAAAAATCTGTGACAGCATAAGCAACTGAAAAGCAACTTCTCTCCCTGATAATCCGTTCAAATTATTCTTCAAGCTTTTTAACCTTTTGTAAAGTCACGCGACGCTAGAAAAGGCGGGACCTGTAAGGAGATAGAAAAGAGACCTGGAGAAGATTCATGAAATATAATTAAATCTATAGGAAGACAAAATAATTGCTAAGGTAAAAAAGAAGCCCTTAGGCTGGCTAAGAGAGCACACGTTGGAAACTTTTAAATGGGGGTTTGTAATCATATACATGATCATAGAATGCTTACTCATATCATAGAATCACAAATATATTAGATTTTATACTATCGTGAGATCAGTTCGATAAAGCACGAAATCCGGGAGACTTGTAAGAAACGACTAAAATGAAAAAATAACCGTAAGTCTATTTTTTAGCCCTATCCCGCCTCACCATGCCACGTTCCGGCCCTCAACAAATATGTAACGCAGAATTCAACATTAATGCAATCTTTACCACACAATGTATCTATTCTGCGTGTCGCGTATGGTGTAACTTCTTTGTTACATCGACTAAACGGAATATTTTCGAGCGATACTTGTTACTGCATTGTAGAATGAATGTATGGATTTATGAATGTGTGTTCGTGCGTGTGTGTTATATCGGGATTATAAATAAAAGCGATATAAAAAAATGAAGAATAGACAAGATTACTTTAGTGCTTCATTGAATAAACAGTTTTTTGGATAATACACTGCCACGTAAGTTGCCATTGCCTCGTTATCGTGTCGACCTATTTTTCGGTTATGGACAATTTTCTAGCGCTAGTGCTGAAGAAATAAAACCTCGCAGAGTAGTAACTGGTTGTGGTGAAATTCGTGATTTTACTGATCGATCATGTCGATGACGGAAGGAAAACATCGTACGCGACACGTCCAATAATCTCTCAGTAAATAAAAGTTCTACTGAAAGAAAATACCTTAGTAATTATTTTGTCTCTTTAACACCATTTATATTTATACGTACATCATTTGTATACCATTTTCTTTTTATACAGTCGTTGCATTGTCTACTAACACATCACGCTTTATGATAGTCAATACGTCAGACGCGAATATATTATGTATACGCACATATTTAAATGTATGTTATGTATTTGCACGCAAAAAAGGTCGGTTGACATGTTCAATGTGTTTCTTTTTTTTTTTGGCAGATTGAAAACAATCAACTCTCTAGCAAGTCACACATGGCTCAGCATACAATTTGTGTTACAGTATGCATGTGCATAGCTTTGGACTTATTTTTCTATTTTAACATATATTTTCGCAATATTATGAAAAGCCACGAGTCATTTGCTAAGGATTTCATTTTTAGCAAACTGTCAAAAAAAAAAAACATTGATCCTCATGGACTGATTTGAGATGTGTTACCTGGGTTACTTGCTTTCCTCTTCTCATTTGTCTCCAATTGTTATATTACTAAAAATGTAATACCTGCATGTACACGTAGTATGTCTGTAGATTTACTAATTAGCAATGCTTGCTTATAAATTGTTGATACTCTCATTATTAATATTGTAATACGTCTCCATAAATATTTGAAACCGCCTTTGAATATAACATTGTTACAATACAGTGGAGTCTTACAGCTTACATTTTTCAAGCTTACGGATGGCCGCGGGTGAGGAGACCTGAGCATTGTTACTGGTCACTTATACGAGAGACGAAGAACCGTCGCGACCGTTCCGAATACATAATTGGTAATTAGCTTAGCGTATATGTCTCCGCATTAAGTAAGCTTGGAGAGACTCCACTGTAATTTATATACTTTGGCTATGTTGGGGATGGTGAGAGCCTGACACTGCGGTATGTATCATTATTAATTCTGCGAATATTGAAAGGTTTTCCTGTTGACATTCAAAAATGTAGACACGGTTTATAACTTTGCCTCACGCGTAGATGCCTAAAAGTTGATCTTAAATATCCTGCAAAAGATAATTATGTAAACTTGGTTACGGAAAGCCTGAGTAGACAGTCAAGTCGGATTCCTGGGACTATCGAATAATTTTCAAGGAACCAGTCCGTCGTTTTCACTGTAGTACTATAGAAATAGCGTTATAAAATACATAAAATATTCACAGAAGTAGATCCGAAACAGGAGTACCAAAAAATAACTCTAACGCATTCTATAATAATATTACATCTGAAAGAATCATATCTCGTCGCAAATTGACGGAGTCCTTACAGCTCGAGCAATGGGATGCAGGTGATTGTAATGATTCAGATAACAAGAATCAGCCAGTGACTTTCCGGAGTGCGCGCTCTCACCAATATTCGCAACATGCTCCGAGATTCCAAACGAGCACTCTTTTTATGTTGCAGGAGAAACATCAATCAGGCCATCACAAGAGCTCGAGTAAGCTCTCCCAGTCTCAACAGTCTCACAACACGTAGTAATAGTAGAGAGCGAAATAGAAAGAAAGAGAAAAAGAGTTAAAGAAAGAAAAGCCAGCAACCAATGGTACGACGAGCTTTCAAGATTTTTCCGTGTCCCCGATTCACGTGGATTTATTGTGGGAAACGAACGGGAATAATTCTTTCGCTGTGAATGCCATATAAGTGACGTTTTGCTAGTGTTGGAATTGAGCGTGATATTCCGCGGTTAGTTACTGCTCGTCTCTCTTTTTACGCGTGCGAAAGCATCTTTCTTACGTTAGCCAACGTATAACGTAATTATTCGCAGTGAAGTGCTTTCGAATAGAGACATTTTCTTACTCAGGTGAAATTTAGATGCGGTACGATTTAAACGATAGCAAATTTATTTCCTCTCTATCTATGTATCTAGCCAGTTATATATGATCACCTATCGTTATAGATCCATTGTATTTGATTTATAGATCATCTGTCCAGAAAGTCTTATCTCATTATTGCTCGTAGCCTTATCCATGGTATTTAATGACAACCAGTTTTGCACTACTTTGACTTCGCGGTTACCTCTTTTTTGCGATTTATTTCCTGTTAGGATTTGCTTATCTATTTTTTGTTCTATCCTCAGAATTCGTTTCTTCTTTCAAGAGGAGGAGGAGGACGTGATATAAAGCTGATAGAGGAAATTTTACTTTTGTTTCTTCGGCTTAACCATTTGCCCGTCCGCTCGTTCTTTTCTTCCTCATGGACTTGCGCTGTTACAGAATTTTTGTGTTGACTGTAGACGCTACTTAAAATTTATTCCGGAAAAGCACCATTCATTTTTTTGTTTTATATAATTGTTGAAATTACACGCTCAAAGTTCATTTCCTTTTTGATATTTTATATTATTGCTGCACTTCTGGTTTTTTGATGAAAGAAATCACTTTGGATTCGAGATTTTTATTTCGTATATATTCAATGATTTTACAAGCCCCAGAAATATAGTGACACTTATATGACATTTTTTTCCCGAAAGTTAATGCGAATGAAATCCTTTGCGGTCAGGACGAGATGACGTTGGCACTTCCCAAAAGCAAAGAAACGTTTCAGTTCTGACACATTTATTCATTTGCGCTGCGTTTTTGTAAATAGACCTTGAAATCTCTTCCCACCATTAATTCTTCCCTCCTTCATCTCATGCGTTTCCCATATATCTATCATATATGTAGTAATATCTGATTATGCTAATCTTTACGTTAGTATAAAGGAATTATCGATAAATAATTAATAACATTATCAATCTGTAAATAAAATTATTTTGTATGCGAAAATCAACCAAATGGATAACTTCGAAACGAAATACGACAGACACGAATCGTGGAACGGGCGAACTCGCATGACGAGTAAATTCACCACTTTGTGTATCAATACACGAACCTATGATATGCACTTTGATGTAATAATTGCGACATAATTACATCATATTTTCACGCTCGATTTTCCATAGAAACAAGATTATTACTACTCTACATATGGCGAAAGACTAGAAACTGGCCCGGCAATGGGAACAATTCATGATCAAAAGCACCTGACTACACCATAAAAATAATCCAATTCAGTTCTAATATTCACTGAGACTAAAAAAAATTAAAGGATTATCGAACTTATTCAATAAAATGCGCATAAATATTATCAATCATGTAATGAAACACATGATTGTATGGACGCAAAAGCATTCGTAATTGGCAAAGTCGCCGAAAAAAAAACTAAAAGAGAAAAATATTAGTACTAGCAGAGAGCGATAGTCACAGGAACACGCATACACTATATGTGCTGATTTTTATACATCTAAAAAGGGGATTAGGAATGGTACTAGAAGGATCACTTAGGAACAAGATGGTTCCGCGTACAAGACTTTCTTTCGGTGCTCAAGTGTAAAATGATGTCAAGCCATTCGAACGTTCTGCGCCTATCGTAAATTACAAAACCTATACTATATATATCATCCTGCCAGTTGGAAAGACAAAGATATAACTTGTTTCGATTGTGGATTTAAGTCAGAGAATTAGCGTGTGTATATTCGATGAATTAGCAGAAAAGGAAGACGCGCCAGTTCTTTCATTACTGTACCTTTCACTTTAATAATGTTATATTTCCGACTGTTTCGACGACGCCTGTTACGTTATTATATATATTTCTGCGTGATATATTTATTATCGCCTGCTAGGATGCTGATTCTAATTATAATCGTGGCGTGGCATCGCAGGTTATGCTCGCGGGATCGAACGAACATGTTCGATTTAGTTGAATTTCATATTGAAAGACAAGAAGGAAGGGAATATCTGAAATAAATACAAATATTCGAAAGTCTAACTGCTCGTATATTTTGATTACAAATTTTGATATTTATTATTATTATCCAACTAGCCTTTCCTATTCTTCTCAAATAATGGAGTACTGGAGTTTTTGTATTGTTTGTGAATTGTTGAAATTCGACCACTGGTTAATTACGTTTTCGAAATTCTTAACACATATGACTATAGTCGGTCTGCAAGTTCGATGTTTTTTTTTGCCAGCTCGAAAAACAATGAATTCTTTAGCAAAGTACACGTGTCACTGCATTGAATCTTTGTTACAAAGAATGTTTGTGATTTTGTACTAAATATATTCTATTTTTCTATTTTAGCATTTATTTATATTATTTATGGAAAACCACGTGTAATTTGCTTAGGATTGCATTGCTTGGGAACTGTCAATAAAACACATTGAACTCGGGGACCGACTATAATTATACAGTAACGTCTAATTGAAGTAGAACACTTGAATTTTTGTGTACTTCTGGGAACCTTTGACCGATTTCGAAAAATCAAAGACATTTTTTAGGAACTTTCCTCTCCTTCCGAACAGTAACAGTTTTATTCCGATCGGATACAAAATGGCCGAATGCCAGGGGTTCGAGTGAAATAGTGCATTTTGAGACTGTGAAAAATGCGATAACTGGTAGTTCCGGAAGAAAATTCATATTTTTAATTATAGCATGAGAAAGAGCATCCTTTGGCAGTCAAAAACACCCTCATTGCACCCCTGTAGCATCACTCTAGGGGGAGCTACACTCTCTTGAAATAAAAAAAAACACTTAATTGATCATAACTTCCGAACGCGCCGATCACTTTGGTCCAGTTTCTGCCTGCTATCATCTTTAACAATACTGTAGATTCTCGTAAAATTATTGTTTTCGAAGACGATCCGGTGACGGAGATCTCGAAACATCGCAAACGCACCAGAAGCATCCCTATTATTTTTCATTAGGAATGCGATGAAATAGAAATTTGTTATTCATCCCATGTTGTAGCTGTGATTTCAACGATTAAAACGCTCTTTTAAAAATCTAAAATTGAGTTTTTTTAAGGTGTTAAATTTTTTATTTGAAAAAACGCCTAAATTTTGCGAGTTTCATTCGAAGTACTCGGGCGACAATCGCTTGGCGTACGTCCTGGGGTAGCCAGCCGCTCGACGTGCGGAGAGACGTGCAGCCGGGCAACCACTCAGGAACGTACGCTCCGCCGCGCTGACAATAGAGCATACTAGAAGTTTTAAAATGATTAATTGATACAATTTTTTCTAAATAGTTGAATTTTTCATTGTTTCTGCATTTGTTCATTTATTTATTTTTCTTATCGTTTTGTCTCTTAAACCTGTCAATTACTATGTATAATTTGAATTAATAATAAAAGAACTGTCAAATATAACAGAAACCTTCCTATACTACCGGGAACGGTGCGAAAAAGACTGGGGTAGTTGCATGTCGCGGATGAATCGAAAATAATGTTGAAAAGTGTGACACAGGCGCATTTAGTAGTATGAGTTTGGATGTTCTGGACCAGGGTTCCTGTAAACGATATTTACCGACACTCTAGAACCTCCGAAGGTAGGTGTCCGTGCTAAGTTGCCGTCGTAAGCTCTACGATTTCAGGAAGTGACGTCACCGTGATCCTTATTTTCTAAGAATTTATGAGAGATTTTAGGAGTTTTACGTTGGATTTCATGAATTTTACGTTCGATTCTGAGAATCGCACGCGATCGAGACGCTTCTAGAACCTTCTAGAAGCTTTGACGGTTCATGTCCGTGCTAAATCGTAGAGAATCATTCCCAGAGCCGGCGGCCCTCTTCCGCGATAATTTGAGACAGCCACTTGCCCCCCCTCCCCCGAAGAAGTTTTGAT